TATGGATTACATCTCAATGTTAAGAAAACAAAAATCCTCACCACTGGACCAATAAACAACATTCTTATTAATGGAGAAAAGATTGAAGTTGTCAAGGACTTCTTTCTTTTGGGATCAACTATCAACACTCACTGAAGCAGTAGTCAAGAAATCAAATGACATATTACATCAGGCATATCTGCTGCACATGACCTTTTTAAAGTGTTGAAGAGCAAAGATGCAGTTTGAGGACTAAGATGCAAATACCATCACCTCATATTCATGCAAAAGCTGGACAGTGAATAAGGAAGACCATAAAAGAATTGATGCTTTTGAGTTATGGTGTTGGAGGAGAATATTGAAAATGCCATAGGCTGCCAAAAGAACCAACAGATCTATGTTGGAAGAAGTGCAACCAGAGTGCTCCTTGGAACAAGTGCCAGAACACTAGTGGTGGATTTCCCAACCAAAGAAGCAAGTGACTTTGGGCAGGAGGCTTGCTTGCAGAGTGGGGTGTCTGCCTCCAGGCACTTTAGAGGGGAGTGAGGTTTGCTGATGCACAGAACTAGAGCCCAGTGCCTTCACACAGATGCTTATAGTTGAGTGCTGTGCCCTGTGGGCATTTACCAGCAGCCCTAAAAGAGCTCCCTAATATTGCCTGAATAGGACACAGGCCAGATCAGGGGACAGAGGGCTACAGAGAGACCTGCTGCCTGCAGGCATAGCAGAAGAAGCTGTCTTTATCAAAAACCTGTATTCTGAGCATTTTCTGTCTCTGAACTTGTTAAGCCCCAATTGACTATGGTCTCTAAGTTGTGGGGCCATTGTTATGAATTATCCAGTTGGGTAAAGAGTGCTGTGGGAAGCATGGTTGGTGTCATTTGTTTTCTATTAAAAGAAATCTGTATCTGTGCATATGTATATTTGTTTTTTGCACAAATTGTATAATACTATATATAGTGGGGTATTTTAAGGTAGTAGACTGAATGTGGAGTCCTGGTATGGTGCTGTGGGTTAATTCATTGGGCTTTGGGGTCAGTTTAAACTTCAAGGTTGAACGTTCAAGCTTACCAGCCGCTCCTTGGAAACCCTATATATATATAGTCAATATGAATCAGAACCAATTCAACGGCACTTAACAACAACAGACAGGATTTATATTGAAGTTTGTTATTGATTAAAATGCTCAATTTGCACATTTAACACATTGTACCTTCCATATTGAAATACTTCTAATACTGTACTTTGTTGTTGTTGTTGTTGTTAAGTGCTGTCAAGGTGATTCCGACCCATAGCGACCCTGTATAGGGTTTCCAAGAAGCAGCTGGTGAGCTTGAACCGCATTCAAATGGTTTTGCAGTCTGGCGCGTTAACCCACAGCGCCACACCAGGACTCCATACCTTGTTGTTAAGTGTCATCAAGTGACAACATATTGCATTAGGCAAATTTGCAAAAGACCTCCTTCAAGATGTCAAAAGACATCTTGAAGAGCAAAGATGTCAGTTTGAGGACTAAGGGGAACCTGACCCAAGCCATGGTGTTTTCATTTGTCTCATATGCAGATGAAAGTTGGACATTGAATAAGGAAGCCCATAGAAGAATAGAAACATTTGAATGAACAAATTGTCTAGGAAGAAGTATAACCAGAATGCAACTTTTCTTATATGAAGAGATGAACAATTCATTTAGGGGTTCCTGGAGTCCTGGTGTGGTGCTTCTGTGTGTTAATGCAGCAGACTGCAAAGCCATTTGAACTGTAAGGTCGGCAGTACTAGCTCACCAGCTGCTCCTCAGAAACCCTTTACAGGGTCACTATGAGTTGGAACAGACTCAATGGCACATGACAACAACAACAGGGTGCTCAGTCATATTCTATTTCGAGGTGGACTGTGGTAACCCTGGCCTTCTACTTTGTAATTATTTATTAAAATGTAGATTAACAAACTTTTCTTCACTTATACTACATTTCCGTTTTAAAAATGTTTAGTAATTTACAATAGCAAAAAGATGAAGACAGCCTAAGTGCCCATCAACACAGAAGAATGGATAAACAAACAGTGGTACATACATACAATGGAATATTATGTTACCTTGAAGAGCAACTAGGAAGCTGTAAGCTATCACATAACATGGATGAACCTTGAGGACATTATGTTGAGCGAAATTAGTCAATCACAAAAGGAGAAATACTGCATAGGACCTCTACTGTAAAAGACTAAGGGAAAGAACCCATACTAAAGGGGGAAGGGAGGACTCTTTGCTGGTTACTGGAACTTGTGGGGTGGGGTGAAGGGAGGGAGAGGAAGGTAGAGCACAGGGTAGGGAATATAGACACAGGATCCTTTGGGTACTAGGGAGGAAGGCAATACACAAGAAGGGGGAGGGGAATGGAAGAACAAGGTATATGGGAAAACAATTAGGCAGGTTTGCATGGGCTATGTGGGACAGAGGTAAATAATGATGTATTCACAACCTTGAAACAACAGGGCTCTGGGATACAGGGATTGAGACAGGGTTGGAATGGGCAAAAGGGGGGAAATAATGTTAAGATACTTGGCTATCTTTTGAATCTTGGTTTCCCCTGCATACCATCATAAAATAGACACTTGAGGGGGAGAGAAAGGAATTGCCAGAAATATCACCATGGAAAGCTTATAAGTCCGTCTTCTGCCTATAACTGATTGGAATGCCTGAAATGGGGCTACAAAGTACCCAGTGAAGCAGGCTTCCTGTGGAGCCTCTGCATTACATAAGACCACAGGTGGAATCCTGAACCCCATCCAGAATCTTCTGAGGTGGGAAGTTTCCACTGGAAAGGACAAACAGACCAGACCAGCCTGGAGTGGCTAGAAGAACAGGAGACACTTATTGAAAGAAAGACTGACAGGAAAAATACAAAACAATAATGATAGTCTGACTGACTACTACAAGAACAAGCAAGTAGCTCACCCAGGAGACATGAAGGCAAGTGGTCGGGTCCCCTCAGGGCCAATCCCCTTCCAAGACTAAGACTCAATGGGAATACACGAGCAGACATATGCTCTAACTGGTGATTACATTGGTCACCGATAAGGGGAAGTGAGGGAAAAACAGCAATGAAGCTGCGAGCTAAGTTCAACCACGTTCAATAGACTAATGTGAACATGGGTGGAGATCTGGTTGGCCAGCAGTATGGCAAGACCTGGGGACTCCTAGTTGCAGAGTCAGTGACATAGCCACAGAGGACTACAGAGGAGAGTGAAGCATCTAGCTAATAAGAAGTGAGGGCGTATACACAAGAACACCCACACTTGCAGATAATACCCACTTGACCTGGCTTCAATGGCTGGATGATCAGAGCTTAACTAGAAGATAAAAGCAGAGGAAAAAAAGAGTAATCTGATACAATTTGATGAACTTGACCTACACCTATGGATGCAGTAACTCAAAAGAGGGACCGAATCTTTACAGCTAGAATCATTCCCACCCCTTCAATACACAGGGTAGACACGGATGGGCAACTTGGACATTGGCTACCCAAAGTGGGTGAGCTACAAAGGCAGGAAGTGACTGGCTTACAAGCTTTCAAGAGGAGTCTAGATCCAGAGGGCAATGAGGAAGGTAGAATCTCCACTGAGTAGTATCTAATCTGTCTGTTCGGGGCTGATGAAATGAGATGGGGATAGCACTCATACGGTATAATAGTGAATAATTAATATCAGGACTGACTCTGAGGGTTGGAAATGTAAAGGTAGATGTTTTGTAGCAAAAGGAAGGAAGCGGTTCACTTTGCAGTCCAGGAGCAGAGGCCCCTGGGACCATCAAGGGAGAAAAGCGGAGTGCAGGACCCACCCAGAGAAACAAGTGATGCCAGAGATGGAGACAGAGATGATGAAGTGGAGAGATGGAGTGGCTGGGGACTCTAGATCCAGAGAGGGAGAGGGACTGTGTGCTGAAGACCAGGGGGCAAGTTTGTGGGGTATACCCTTTGGTTGGTTGATGATGCATGGACAATATTGTAACCATGGCAATGTAATGATATAAGATAGGATGAAAATAAAGCTAATGTGCTCCCATGCAAACGATCACATAATTCGTAATAAAACAGTTTAAAAAATATTTAGTAAGATGCACAGATTTATGTTTAAATATGTAATACGTATATGTATATGAGTTTCTAGTGATAAAGACTCCATTGCCTTTAAGTCCATGCAGTCTCAGAGGTCCTGCAGCGTAGAAAACATAGGGTGTCCAAGGCTGTACAAACTCTGGTAGCGTAGTGGTTATGAATCGGGCTGCGAACCGCAAGGTCAGCAGTTCGAAACTACCAGCTGCTCCGCGGGAGAAAGATGAGGCTTTCTGCTCCCGTAAAGATTTACAGCCTCGGAAACCCTGTTCAGGGCCGCTATGGGTCGGAACCAACTCGAAGGTACTTAACAACAACAACTGCTGCTACACCTTTCTCCCTCTAAGCCGCTGGTAGATTCAAGCTACCAACTTGCACAGCAGGGCTCCTTTCCCATAGTATCACCCAATACATAGTGCCGTGGGGTTGATTCCGATTCAAAATAACTCCGCAGGGCAGAGTAGCTCTATAGCGCTTCTGAGGCTATATGAATCTTTTACAGAAGCCGACTGCCTCATCTTTCTCCCGCGCAGACTATATTACTCTGCCAAAGCAAGGTAAAAGCATTTACAGACTAATATACTGGAAACCCAGGGAGTGCGGTGGCTCTGTAGGATAAGCACCGACTGCAACCACAAGGTCGGCGGTTGGAACCTATCAGTCACACAACAGGAGAAATATCTCGCAACATTTTACAGCGTCTGATACCCTACACAGGGTCGCAGAGTAGGAATCAACTCCATGACACATACTTAAACTGGAAAGCATGGTTTGTTTTCAAGATGTGGCCTTCAAGTCCCAGCAGGCACTGCGGTAGACAGACCGGAAACAACGGTGTCCGATAAGGGGCCTGAGGGCCCGCATTTCTTTCCCTCCGCAAAGCTCGCGGGCGCCTCAGAACACCGTCCCCATCATGGCCGCCGGGACCCGCTTCCGGATCGGGCGTCGTGCGTGACCCATAGGCGTCACTGCCGAGGAAGCCGCTCGGTGGCGAGGGCGCGCGGCTATCGCACACGATGGCGGGAGGAGGCGGGAGCAGCGGCGGCAACGGGCGGTCGTCCGGCCGCCGAGCGTCTCGCAGCGGCGGGCGGGCCAGACGTGGGCGCCACGAAATGGGCCTGGGGGGCGCCGCGGGGCGGGGCGCGGGGGAGGCTAGGTTGGAGGCAGCGGTCAACCGCTGGGTTCTCAAGTTCTACTTCCACGAGGCGTTGCGGGCCTTTCGGGGTAGCCGGTATGGGGACTTCAGGCAGATCCGGGACATCATGCAGGGTGAGAACTGACTCGCGGAAGGGGACTGGAGCCCCGGGGAAGGGAATCCGTGAGGATCGGGTGTTGGTGTTGGGGGCCGACGAGCCAACGATCTCTTCTTTCCCAGCTTTGCTTGTCAGGCCCTTGGGGAAGGAGCATACCGTATCCCGGCTGCTGCGGGTTATGCAGTGTCTATCGCGCATTGAAGAAGGGGAAAATTTAGGTATGGCTATTTCTGTGTTCTTCGCTGGGCTTGATTACGTAGGGCTGTTGTTGTTTTCAAACTTATATCCGGAATTGAAGGATTCCGGGTTAAAAATGTGCTACTAAGGTTTCCATCATCACAGTGGTTATTTTCATTTTATGACGGGTCTGTTCTCTACCTCCAATTTTCTTCTTGAGTTAAGGTTCTCTTGATTGCTTTTCTGTTTTATTTCCTGCCACCTGTTTTTTGCTTGCCTGAACTGTTTTGATGTTCAAGAAGAGTTATGTTAAAGTGGATATGTTTTCCCTATGGTAGACTGTTTTCCAGGGTGTGAGCACATCTATTTCTGAATTCAACTGGACAGCTGTTTAGCAAGCTGTCTTCAGTTTCTGGCCACTTGGACTTCAGGAGACTGTATATCATGAAATTTGAGAGGCATGTGCTGACACTAATTTACAATTTCGTTTTTTACCTGTGTCATATTGATGGTCATGTTACAGTCATTGATTTCATTCATTGCATTCATATTTTCTCCCAGCTGTTGAAACTATGTGAGCCTTTTGTTTTAGGTCAGCAAAATGAATGCAAATCTTAACTATATGTGCATAACATACTAATAAAAGTTCTCAAACAACTTTTCCACTCCTTAAAAAATTGCTTAAAGTGAAAATTGTTCTTTGTCCTAGACTGTTCCTTTGATATGGAGGCTGAGCTCACACCACTGGAATCAGCTATCAATGTGCTGGAGATGATTAAAACGGAATTTACTCTGACAGAGACAGTGATCGAGTCCAGTAGAAAACTGGTCAAGGAGGCTGTAAGGATCTATTATAATTTTTTTCTTTTGACAGAAATTAAAGGTCTTTGAGGATACAAATGCTTTTTCTACTTGGGGTGGAAGAAAAGCAGGGGCATTTCAAGCATTTGCACCCATTGACACACACATTGATGTAGTGTTGTTCCATACCTTCTGCGCTTGGAAAGCAACATTAGTGTTTGGTGGTCAGCTTTTGAGATTTTGGTGTCCTCCCTGTAGCCTTAGCAAAAGGGGCCATAGTATTCAAGAAATGGGGTGGCTTCGAAGACTGGCATTTGGAGGTTATTGCACCATTCCAGAACACTATAAAAGGGTTAGAAGCAACTGTAGTTTTAGGGTTTGTTCATCCTGGTTTATAGTACACCTTGGAGAATAGCTGGGGCCTTGGGCAATGTGAGACTGACTTTTGCTATTGTTTTCCTATAACAGTCTTTCTATAGAAAGAGGCATAGAGCAAAAGTATTAGAATCAGGTGTTGGGGTTATCTACCAGCTAGAAAAACAGCAATCTTAGGAGGCTGGTTTTGATAGTTTGCCAAAAGAAATGCTAGCATAGGATTTGGGACTGCCTTTGTGACACATGACTCAGGTAGCTTCAAGTAGTAGAACTTATTTTCATCTAAAGTATAGATATGGCCATTGAAACTAGCCTAATGTGGAGGTGGAGATTACAGTGGGCCATTTTTAGAGGCTGGCTACTTCAATTACTTCATCTCCTAGGTAGTAAATGATACTGAAAATATATTAAATTAAAAAAAAATTCAAATACATTACTTGTAAAGCTGGAAGTTCTAAATGTAAAGTCTGGGATCACTGGAAGTCTTTGGGGCATTTGCCTGGGATCCTTGAGGTCAACTATTTACATAACAATGCCTCTGGACTACACTGACTAGCACCTGTGGTCTAAAACAATTATGGGGAAAACTGCTTAAAGCTATGGTCAGTTTTATTAGTAGGAAGTGATTGTATTTTTTCCTTGCCATTTTTAATTTTAAAAATTCCAGTTTCAATTAGGAATGTCTTCGATGAAACAGGGAAAATTACTACTTTTACTAAATTTAGATCCTTGAGAAAACACCTCCTTTGTATTTTGTGTGATGAAATAGAAAGTGTGCATAAAGCATTTCCAGTGCACAGCAAAACATGGCTGTCTTGAGGAAAAAGCATTTGTATGATTGAGTTTAAGTTCAACTAGCTGCTTGTTGCTTGATGGTTTGTTTGTTGTTGTTTTTTTTTAATGGAATACCTTTTTTACTTGAAAGAAGTCTGACAAACTATGGTTATAAAGACATGGGGTTTTGGCAGTCATTTTCTTGAAAATGAACAAAGTAAACCTAACCCTTCAAGAAAAACATCATCAGTATTTGTTGCCAGTGATAAAATTCAAACTTTTAAATGAAAATTAAAAATTTAGAAAACTTGTATTCGTGTGCTTGAGAGCTTCTCAGTACTTTAGGCTTTTCTGATGAGCTTGGTAGTGATATTAACAAATGTGTTTTAAAATTCTTTTAATGGATGTGTCAACATTTGGAAGATAGTGTAATTCAGTCAACCAACTTTTTCCAAATGATCACTATGTGCTGTTACAAATAGTATAGATAAGTGCAAGATAGAGTAAGGTATTGAAATGTGACAGAGCATGAAAAGTTTCCTAGGCAACACTTGCTATAGAATCAAAGAAGAAAACCCACAGTTTTTGGAAAAAAGCTGTCTTCATATCTGAGAGACCAGATTTTTCATCTTTTGTAATCAAAACAATGTATTACAGCAGAATGACTGCAGAAGCAATAGGAGAATCTAGCTACCTTCTCTTACAGCAGATATTAAAGAGAAATATAAAACAATGCCATACTTCTCATTAAGCTTGTCATAGAAAAGTTATTTTTATGTAGTGAGTTATTTTGTAATAAATTAATATTCATTACAATTTCTGTTTTTAATTTTGAGTACAGAGAATATCAGTAGATATAACCCACATAAACAAATGCTTTTTGGGTTCCTCATTAACATTTAGGAATCCTGGTGTGTGCTATAGGATAAACACTGGACCACAAAGTCGGTTTGAAATGCAAGGCTGGCAGTTCAGACTCACCAGCCACTCCTCAGAAACCTAGGGTCCCTGTGAGTCTGAATGGACTCTGCACTTAACAATGATTATCATTTAAGAGTAGGAAGGAACCTTGAGACCAGAGAGTTTGAAAACTTTCTGTAAGTTATACTGAGACTACATTGGTTTACTTTTCATTACTAAAGATTCCTCAGTTAGATTTATTCAGAAAATAGGGAAGGACAACATGTACCACATGTTGCTGAAGAAGTGTTTGTGAATTTTTCTGTGTAGCATCTCTGCTGTACCTTTGGTAACAGCAGCACCTTGATTTTCTTTTAGTCCTCCCTGTTGTATGGTCTTGGTGGATCTTTAAATAAAGGGCCTCTATTCCTATTGGCTCAGCGGCTACTCCGTGGAAACCCTGTCCAGGGTCGTGATGGGTCAGAATTGACTCAGTGGCACTTAACAACACTATTCCTAATGGGGACTGATGCATTAGGCACACTGTCTTTGAACTTTTAGAAACAAAAAGCTTTGTCAAGGTGTTTTGACTATTCCTACTTCCCCAAACAGCCTCATTGAGTTTCTCTTTCTCCCTCCCTGTCTCTTTTACTTTTTTTAAAAGTCTGCTAATTAAGCTTTTCTTACATTTGTGAGATTTAGGGTTTTTTTTAACTAATAAATCTTTACTGCATTTCCCCCAAACTATCTCACCTTGCCAGGAATTTTTAATTTAGCCAGAAACTGTTGCTATTACTTTAATTTTAAGAACTCCAACAGATACATAAGAAAAGAAACCATGTTTACTTTTGAAAACAGCCAAGTGAAAAAGCAGTGGTTCCAGGCTTGCAGGGTGTGCACCCTTTGGTTGGTTGATGGTGCATGGAGGGGATTGTAACCATGGCCATGAAACGATATACCATAGGAGGAATGTAAAACTAATGTTCTTCCAAGTAAACTATCATATGATTCATAATAAAACACTAAAAAAAAAAAAAAAAAGTAATGGTTCATATCTCTTGTCCTCAGCTTGGACTCAAAGGCAGCTTCAAACTTGGAAGTTCTTTCCAGGTGTAACAGAAAGGGCTCCGAGAAGCCCTCTCTTTCTGGGCTGAGGAGCAGGAAAGGGACTGCTTAAGGGTTAGAGTTGTTGTTAAGTGCTATCGGGTCACTTCCGACTTACAGCGATCCTGTACAGGGTTTCCAAGGAGCAGCTGGTGGATTTGAACTGCCAATCCTGTGGTTTGTAGTCCATTACTGATCATACACCAGAAGTCAAGAGGGTGAGAGAAAATCCTTAGTTGTTTTTTTTTTTTTCCTCCTCTCTTACATTCTAGCTCTTAGGGCCTCCCCCCCCC